TGTTTTAGAATAAAATATTAATAATAACGACGCAATTAATTACTTATATATAATAAAACCAAAAACGGGAATTTCTGTACTTCTTTATGTTTATTTATTATAAATTTCGGACATTGCTATACACTGTTGTGGATGAAAATTAATATAAAAATATTTGAAACATAAATAGATTGCATCAACCGTATGTGGGTAACAATCTATTTTTGTTAATTGTTATGTCCTGGAGCCCGATGCATGCTCATTCGCAAATCTTTTTTTATTAAGATCTCAGTAATTATTGCAAATCTTGCAAAGTGGTAAAGAATGTTGTGACTTAATAAAATCTTTACTTGTCCACGAGAGATTGTACGGCAATTCTGGGACACCCTATGTATACATATAGAGAAACCTATGCTACTTTAAGTTTTGAAAAAACAAATGTTATTTCAGATACAGTTTTAATTAAAGACAATGACAATGACGATTACATTCAAGATTATTGAATTGATTTAAATTACAAATTCTAATTTAAATTCATCTATTGAGTGTACAAAAGACTACGATAAAGAACATAAACGGAAAGCTGTTGAATTTTGAAAATCAAGAAAAAAATATAAATCAAAGTTTGCAACAGTCAAATCCAGGTTTAAACGTATTCTTTCAATACAACAGCTATATAAATAGGAAAAAGAAATTTTAAAAGGTGGAAATTCGCGCAAAAAGCTAAAACAAATTTTAGATTATGTATTAACTCACTTTGAAGACACTCTAGAAAAATCGTTTCCTGATTTAAATATTAGTAGATGGGCTTTAGATGCTAGAAATTAATTGCAATTATCGGTGGATTTTTTTAAAACATTTGAAAAATGGATTTATATAATTTCAAACAAAAACACCGCACTGTTTCTAGAAACATAAATAAATTTATAAGGCAGAAAATTTCAACAGACATAAGTAAATTAAAAGTAGAGGCTAAAAATTTTGTTGAAAAGGTAAAAGCTGAAATTTTACTAGGTGAAGTATAAAATGATTTTAACACTGATCAAACAGGTTTCAGTTAGAATTGTACACACAACGTACTTTATTTTTCAAAGAACAGCCAATATGTAAAACAGAAATTTAATCAAAATTCTATAACGCATAGTTATACAATGCAGCTTATTATATCAGCAAATGGTTTTCTTT